GAATGAGAAGAAATGTAAGGCCAAATATCCTCACAAACAACGCTTAAGTGAAATCAGTTTGCAACTAAGCAGTTCGAAAATTTTGCAACACGTCTGGAGAAAGACGTTCCTCGTGACGCTGTAATTCACTAGAGTAAAACGTCCGTTTATTATGTTTGTTTTTGCATAATAACTGCTATACATACCGTAGAAGCACCTTCCTTTTTGTCATCGCCGCTGACAACATGCGCCATTCTCTGCGGCTTCGGCCGCATGCTTGGCCACAAGTCACCGAAATCGGGATACATAGCCTTATTTATGAATCAGTAGTAGGTAAACGTTGCAGAAGTGTATGTATATTGTTCATTGTCAATGCTGCTTAAACAACATGCCTAACATTAAGTCAACACTCGCCTGCATTTTCGTCTTTTCCGCTTCGCGTTGCGAATGATGTCTAGGCCTACACAAAACGAAAGTAAAATGTGCGCATGTCTAAATGTAAGGGAGATCACTCGTGTTTTCCCGCAGTATATGTCTGAAATCATTCCGAAGGTGTTGTTGTTTTTGTGTATATTGAAATAAAAGAGTCCTGTTATATGGTAATACTTCAATAAACGAAAAACACAAATCACACCAACAGACATATAAAATGTAGGCCTATCGGAGCATATTTTCGTTTCTGGCTGAGCTGTAATTAGCGAGAAGGCGATATAAAAATGCAATAGCATATCTTATGATGAAAATAGAACAAAATGATAATACTGCGAAGGTAAAAAAAGCCTTCAGGTTAGAATACCAATATGGAACTAGAGAAGGACAGTGGCTAGTTCTAACATGATTCCCGGTCTCATCTGCCCCGGCCGGTTGATCCCATTTTAGTTAGGCAAGCCTGGTGTGAATCACACGGAGGCGATTTTAGAATTAATTGACAGGATCCGTATCCATTAATAGGTTTGTAATATGAACTTTTTATGTTGATCTCCTACATAATTGTAAGTTATACTCCGCCTTATATTTCGTTAAATTATCAAGTTTACGTAACAAGTGCAAGCGAAATCCTAATTGACTGCCATGTTGGAAACTTCCTCAATCTTTCCGATATAGGTCAGACGTCTAAATATGGGTGTCATGACCAAATATGGAAATTGTAGTAAACATGACCGCATCAGTAGTAATACTATATTTGGCCGTGAAGGCCATATAAGGAAACGGATAACATCACGCGTGATCTAACATGGCCGTCGTTTCTTTTTTTAGAGTTTTTAGTAAGGATTTGTTATTTTAACGATGAACGAATATGCAATATTTTGATAACATTATAATCATATGAAGCGTGAATCAGATATATTATTACTGATTAGCACTTTTGATTATCCTCAGTTAGTTGGAACAGGACCGCTTCATAGCTCTGACCACGCAATATATAATTGTAAACAGGGACGTAAATGTCACCAATTTTAGCCAATCACAGGACAATATTTCCGTGTAAAGGGTTAATCCAGCGACAGTTCCAAGAGTAAATACGAAGTTTTAGAAGGATACTTAGTTCTAACTAAGAATAAGATTATATCCAATGACGTTTGAGTGAACTTGAGTCCGTGGTAATGGATTTTATTTGCAGTTTGTTTAGTATTACTGGTAGGTGACGTTATGTCTCGTTTATGAATATCTGAGCTCATTAACTGAAGTATTTTTACCGGAAGCTGCGTGTAGCATGCATGACCTACAGTCAAGTAGCAGTTCCCGATTGAGATAAACAGGGTGCATTTTCAATAAGAATACGAGGTTGTGATAAGATCATATGTTCTACAAAGGAAAGGAATGATATTTACAAGCCATTCAAGTGCATTTGAGTCCAAAGTTACGCATAATAAAGACAGTAGGTCCGGTATATGATTCAATTTAGTACCAGTGGGTACCGTTAGAGGCCGTCTGTGTGAAATCGACATTTATGAATATCTTGAGCTCATTAACTAAAGTAGCGGCTCACGCCTTAGCTAAAAAAAGGACAGATTGAAACGTTAGAAAAGACGAATCAGACCAGCGCAGACAAAGCCAGACCATGTTTATAAGTGTGCCGTCTTCTCGTAGGTCATAACTGTCAACGGTCGCCAATGCAAAACCACTCAGAAGTAGTCCAGTAGGGGCATTCTACACACTTGTTTGTGTGTCTGGGGTTACACTTGACCTATAACTTATGACCATGTTGACCTAGTAGGTAGCTTCATCTAACGACTTGATCGTGAATACTTATAGAGGCTGGCCTGTCTATCATAAAACCAACAAATGTCAGCCATTCAGCTGCTAACAGTAACACATCCGGGTTCCGTGTATACACATGTGCGTAATTATATAGCATAGGAATGATCCAATTAAACTTACTTAAATATTGGACTTGGGATACGTACAATTAATACAGCATACCATTGTGTAGTAAAGTGAGATGGCAATCAATTATATTTGTAAATACTAATGTGATTTATCTAAATGATAATACGTAATGCTTATTTTATTTTAAATATTTAAGCACGCATTCGCGCATATCAGTTTATCCTTTGAACTAGAGGACAGTGGTCACTTTACTCTCTGTCATATGATAGTTACGTGCAGTATATAGATTCCCCAATGTCACAGGTTAAATTGGTCATTAATCAGTATGACATACATTTCATTTTCACACTTTATAAAAATATAAAGTTAAAACATTTGTCAATGTGAACCGATCAAAAGTCACAGTCATGTTGTTAAAAGATATTGTTCTTAACGTATTTGCATTACAAATTTAAGAACATCAACCCTTAGATTGATCACTTCGAACTGCTATAATCTAAAACATCTCTGTTACATCACCTCTGACAAGTCCTCCTGATGATTGCCGATAGAGTGCAGGAGGAAGGCTTCGGTGCATTTTGAGAAAATATGGAGTAACTGGATGTGCTTTAAAAAATATTTCACATTTAACCCATAAACCCCTGAAGACGCATTTGAACTCTTCCGATTCAAAGGATGGAATAGTTCATTATGAAATTCCAGGGGTGAATGAGTTAATATATTAAATAAAAGTATCCACACCAGGAGAGGGCGCCTCAGCTAGCTCTTCTATTGTTATAATTTTACCCTGAACATCAATGTGCAGTTCTGTTACCAGAAAGACAAGTTTGCAGATTAAGGTATGCTTATGTATTGTATCTTATTTTGAGCAAACTCTTTGAAATATTCAAAGTTTCACTGTTGGTTCCACATGTTGGATTTGGTGTTTTGGGATATTGTCAACTTAAATAGAGCAAATGGTACCAGCCCCGAACCTATATTGGTTATCTGTGTTGTAAGGTTATCTGAGGTTACCGGCTTAGGTCAATGCCAAGTTCCCATCTATAAACATCAAAACATGCTCCCGTAATTGTAATTATATGTATATATTTACATTTGCCCCCGCGCCGTCCCATTACAACAGTGTAAGAGGGCAAGTGTAATTTTATAGGCTATAATTACAACTGCTCGACTATAATTACAACTGCCTGTTTCAGGTGTAGGAATATGTAAACAAACAAAATGGCCGTCTGAAATATATTTTGACGCAGGGCAAATGGTTTTTGTAGGAATATGTCTTAAAAAAGAAAAATATGTAAATATAAAAATACCTGGTTGTCTGGATGTAACCAGTTATTGTTTAAATATCTCTCTTTACTTTGATGATTTAAGTTGTGACGCATCATTTCACCTTTACATATATCAATTCAATATTATATGTGTAACCTGTTGTGACGTAATTGTTCACCTTATATATATAACGTGTTGTGACGTATTGTTTCATATAACCTGTTGTGACGTTGTTTTACCTTATATATATAACCTGTTTTGATGTTTTGTTTCACCTTATATAGATAACCTATTGTGACCTTTGGATATACATATAACTTGTTGTGACGTTGTTTCACCTTATATATATAACCTATTGTGACGTATTGTATACCTTATATGTATAACTTGTTGTGACGTTTTGTTCCACCTTATATATATAATCTATTGTGACGTATTGTTTCACCCTATATTTGACGGTTTAATGGTCAAGCAAGATGTATCTATGATAAATATGACCTCTGCATAGATAAGCCATACAGAATGACTCTTCTGGCTAAAAGGTGATTCACCTAACACATTGGATACATGTTTATAGGTAAAAGGTTATCTTAAAGTATGATACGTATATCGAATCAGTTTCTTTTGGAATTCTTATCAAAGTTCAATATAGACGGCTATGTTTGTTTACAGCAACAATCCACGAATAATTTTGTGTACGAAACCCGATTCTTGTTGCTTGGGTTACCAGATTTGAGCTATCTACGTCAAGGTCTTTAAAAGAACTACTAACGAAAACATGTATTATTCAGCTTTTTTATTTAGTCATAGAAAAAATGAGCAAAAATCTAAAACTTTCTGAACATAGCGTTTCTTTTCTCATAGGAACACGAAGTAAATAGTACACGTTATAAAGTATGTATTAATCACGGAATAACTTACCTGCCGTTATAACTAAGTTGCTTTTAGCTGTATCATTTTTTTAAAACATTATATTACAACGTAAACTTTTAATAGGTACTGCTTTTTACATATTCGATGTTCAACACGTATAAATGACAAATCGAATGATAAAAATATGATTATTATCTCAAAATAGATAATAGAAATTCATCAACACAAAACGTGTAAACAGAACTATATATATATATATAGTCATGTAAAATACTCGTTTTGTAGGACTTTCTTGAAATTCCATACAAAGAATGAGCTTACCATGTTTATTATGTGTGCTTTTGACTTTTCCGGCTGGCAAAAATCTGTCCCTATAGTTCATCAAGAATTCGCCTAGTAAACATGCGATGCAAAGAATATACATAACCTTTTTTCCAATTAATACCGGAATTGGTATTAGTTTGTTTAAAGAAACGTTTGTACCGTCTAGAATATTTATTATTAAATCAATAAATGTGAATTAAGCTTTATGAGAAAAACTTACTTACCTGTATGCTGAGCACGTGTTCGGTTCGGTTTAGAATGGCCTATCCTTTCACTGTATGCTAAGGCCGGGAGGAGGAACCTTATATCTTAGCGTGTGCTGGTACTTTTCCACTGTACATATATATGATCATGACCTTGCATGTGAGGAGCGGCCGGCTATTATTTCCGCTTTGTAGCACATGCAGCTTTTAGTTTACACAAAGATTCAGCTTTCTAAGCCTCACTATCCATACGTTTACAATTCTGACAAAACGTAATTTGACGTCAGGTTAAATAGACCAGCAAATTTATATAGAGCACTGTTTATCAATAGATGACAATAGGTAAACTAGCGGTCTGGTACTTCATTCTTCGATACACATACATGTTGCCCCTCAACGATAAGACCACACGTGTACACGGTAGCACTGTATGCATGCGGGATTCCGCAAGTATCGCTAATAAATCACAAACCACCCATCAATAGGTAGTCATCGCACGTTTTTCCTTCTTAAAGCTGTAATAAGAAATACAACGCGCCAAGTTAAATCGATACGTATATGATTTGTTTCTGGTCATTGCAAACATGAATGCATTGTGATTGGTGATAGTATTTACGGCGTGTGACTGCATGTCTGTCACCCGCAAGACACGCAAGTTATTAAAGCAATACACATTTGGTTATATGCACTGAAATGTTCCCAAAAAGCATTCTTCAAGTAAATTGAGAAATTATAGACAAATTTTCCAAATATTTTTGTTTCCCCTGTTTTCCCCTAATAAGAGTTACGTAACACAACAACAAAATAGAGACCGTCGTAATTATATGAAGTTATGTCTGAGAATATTGCATATATATATATATATTTCATAAAATATATTTATACGGCTATGCAAAAAAAGAATGCGTTAAATGTATAAATATCATAGAATATGTGTATGCAAAAACACGAACATATCGCAGCCTCCCAAAATACACACACATACACTACACGCATGCATCTTGCACACAGGGGAGGCCGTCCTTAAATGACCTTAGCTGTTTAATAGGACGTTAAACAAAAACAAACAAACAAACAAACAAGTATGCACAAATCCGAAAGTGCTTTTAGGTTTATGACTTGATAATTTCTCTTATAAATAATCTCATTTGATGACATGAAAGTGCTGATGACATATTGTTGAGAATTTTCCAGACTCTTGTGCTGGTGAATATGATGTGATTTGAACCTGAAAAAGTGAGATTGACCAGGTTCATATCACATCATATTTACCAGCACAAAAGCCCCTAACTGTTTTATTATATGCCTCAACAATAAGATTTTGTATGGTTAACATTTACTTGAACGAGCCTCCGTGTAAAATTTAGCCAGTGTTGAATCCAACAGTTCGGTTTTTGGAGACATCGTTAAGGTTTTTTTTCTTAAGATTGTTTGCATTTCTATGTTATATAAAATGTGATTGTCCTTCTTCTTGATATATAGATTAAATGAAAAATTTTGAAGATAAACACGTACGTTTTTATGTCCTTATAGATGTTCGTAAACACCACTTTACCAATGTATGATTGCATTAGGACATAGAAACAATCGATATAACTATGGCTACATAGGAACAATCAATATAACTATGGCTACATAGGAACAATCAATATAACTAGGGCTACATAGGAACAATCAATATAACTTGGGCAACACAGGAACAATCGATATAACAAGGGCAACATGGGAACAATCGATATAACTATGGCTACATAGGAACAATCAATATAACTATGGCTACATAGGAACAATCAATATAACTATGGCTACATAGGAACAATCGATATAACTAGGGCAACACAGGAACAATCGATATAACAAGGGCAACATGGGAACAATCGATATAACTATGGCTGCATAGGCACAATCGATATAACTAGGGCAACACGGTAACAATCGATATAACCATGGCTGCATAGGAACAATCGATATAACTAGGGCAACATAGGAACAATCAATATAACTAGGGCAACACAGGAAGAATCGATATAACAAGGGCAACCTGGGAACAATCGATATACCTATGGCTGCATAGGTACAATCGATATAACTCTGGCTGCATAGGAACCATCGATATAACTAGCACAACACCGGCACAATCGATATAACTATGACTGCATAGGAACAATCAATATAACTATTGCTACATAGGAACAAACGATATAACTAGGGCTGCATAGGAACAATCGGTATAACTAGGGCAACACGGTAACAATCGATATAACTAGGGCATCACGGGAACAATCGATATGACTATGGCTGCATAGGTACAATCGATATAACTAAGGCAACATGGGAACATTCGATATAACTATGGCCGCATAGGAACAATCGGTATTACTAGGGCAACATGGGAACATTCGATATAACTATGGCTACACCCCCACAATCAATATAACTAGGGCAACATAGGAACAATCGATATAACTAGGACAACATAGGAACAATCGGTATAACTAGGGCAACATGGGAACAATCGATATTACTATGGCTGCATAGGAACAATCGATATAACTAGGGCAACACGGGAACAATCGATATAACTATGACTGCATAGGAACAATCGATATAACTAGGGCAACATAGGAACAATCGATACCACTAGGGCAACACAGGAACAATCGATATAACTATGGCTGCATAGGAACAATCGATATATCTAGGACAACATAGGAACAATCGATATAACTAGGGCAACACGGGAACAATCGATATAACTATGGCAACATAGGAACAATCGATATAACTATGGCTGCATAGGAACAATCGATATAACTAGGGGAACACGGGAACAATCGATATAATTATGGCTGCATAGGAAAAATCGATATAACTAGGGCAACACGGGAACAATCGATATAACTAGGGCAACATAGGAACAATCGATACCACAAGGGCAACACAGGAACAATCGATATAACTATGGCTGCATAGGAACAATCGATATAACTAGGGCAACATAGGAACAATCGATATAACTATGACTACATAGGAACAATCGATATAACTAGGGCAACATAGGAACAATCGATATAACTATGGCAGCATAGGAACAATCGATATATCTAGGGCAACATAGGAACAATCGATATAGCTAGGGCAACATAGGAACAATCGATATAACTAGGGCAACATAGGAACAATCGATATAACTATGGCAGCATAGGACCAATCGATATATCTAGGGCAACATAGGAAAAATCGATATAACTATGGCAACATAGGAACAATCGATATAACTATAACTAGGGCAACATAGGAACAATCGAATCTAGGGCAACATAGGAACAATCGATATAGCTATGGCTACATATGGACAATCGATATTACTAGGGCAACACGGGAACAATCGATATAACTAGGGCAACATAGGAACAATCGATATAACTAGGGAAACATAGGAACAATCGATATAACTAGGGCTACATAGGAACAATCGATATAACTAGGGCATCATAGGAACAATCGATATAACTAGGGCTACATAGGAACAATCGATATAACTAGGGCATCATAGGAACAATCGATATAACTAGGGCTACATAGGAACAATCGATATAACTAGGGCATCATAGGAACAATCGATATAACTATGGCTACATAGGAACAATCGATATAACTATGGCTACATATGGACAATCGATATAACTAGGGCAACACGGGACCAATCGATATAACTAGGGCAACATAGGAACAATTGCATAGGCACAATCGATATAACTAGGGCAACACGGGACCAATCGATATAACTAGGGCAACATAGGAACAATAGATATAACTATGGCAGCATAGGAACAATCGATATATCTAGGGCAACATAGCAACAATCGATATAGCTAGGGCAACATAGGAACAATCGATATAACTATGGCAGCATAGGACCAATCGATATATCTAGGGCAACATAGGAACAATTGATATAGCTAGGGCAACATAGGAACAATCGATATAACTTTGGCTACATATGGACAATCGATATAACTAGGGCAACACGGGACCAATCGATATAACTAGGGCAACATAGGAACAATCGAATCTAGGGCAACATAGGAACAATCGATATAACCAGGGCAACATAGGAACAATCGATATAACTAGGGCATCATAGGAACAATCGATATAACTATGGCTACATATGGACAATCGATATAACTAGGGCAACACGGGAACAATGGATATAACTAGGGCAACATAGGAACAATCGAATCTAGGGCAACATAGGAACAATCGATATAACTAGGGCAACATAGGAACAAATGAAAGATTGTCATGCCGACCCTGAGAAAAATACAAAGATAATAAGAACAGGTGATCCGGAAGAGAAATTGGCTTCGATTTCATAGACGACACCCGTCATGTAAATCTAGGTCAAATGCATGCAATGTCACGCCCTAACATCAATAACTCTTGTTATGACAACAAAACCGCAAGTCACTCAAATGAGCACAATCGAAAAACATCGACCTTCATTTCACACAAATAAAATAACATACTACCCTGCGATATCCTGATGGCGACCATACATCAACCTGCATCTTTTGGAAATTATGTTAATTTTTCGGTCATTAGTTGACATCAATCACGGAATCTAGGCTATTCTGAGCAAGCTCTTGGAAAGAATCAATCACATTTAACCACATATTCCCGGAAATCTAAACATTGTAGACAATATGATGTTGTCAAATTTTCGGAGCAATCCGTAATCGAGACACAGACCCCCCCCCCCCCCCCCCCCCATTTATTTACTAGATCTTCACAAATTATGTAATCTTCAAATACTTTCCCCCAGAATCGTACGTTTCATTCTTCACGAATAATGCCAACACTTGGAAAACTCGAGTCAAACAACACCTATATATAATTGAACTCCTGAACTACTGAACTGCCCTATTTATGTCTACCTCAATCCTTACACTCGATACTGCGCACTACATGTACATCACCTCAATTGCTTACTCTGACCTCAACTGTCACATTATTAGGAACATGTTACATTAAAACTGCGGCTGACTAGGCCAAGCTGGTCATAATTTCTGATGTTTCATCCCGAGGTCAGCATCAGCCGGCCGCACAAACATCTGACGGCAGGCTTTGTTTCCCAACACTAGGTACTTATCTATAGACCACGACCTTCACTGTTTACGTCTGGTACATGTGTACTATATATTCACCCCAGAAGGACCACACATAACAGTGTTTTTGGGAGTGTTTGGTTTCGTTTCGGATTGTACGTCATCAGTCTGTGGATTCTTCAGTGCTTACAATTACTTCTTTTAATTTTTCCCCATATCTTTTAATATTTCATCAATATGACGCAATATCATAAGTGAGTTTGTTATGGTGTTTGACACGAAATATAACTCTTTTGATTTTACGTCATCAATGTATCATGAAGTGGCAGTTTTTAAGGATTGTGTGTTCACATAAGCTGTGTGTCGCAGCAAAAGCGCTTA